CCCTGGAGTCATTCCTCTGTGTTCATGCAGAACTCGCCTGCCACCACAATGTCTTTCTGATTCTGCTGCCAAATATCACTCCCCTCATTGTTACCTTGCGAACTGGCACAAATCCCCCTGGCACCAATGCCTGAGTCAATGAGCAATCTAAGTGCTACTGCAGAGTTATACTATTTATACTATACACTTTCTCCCTCAAAGGCTTGGACAAAATTTAGGGGCCTAACTGTGAAACTGGAATTTAGATTAAATAAGAAACTTACTCAGCAGCCACCCAACTATTTAGGATTGATCTGCTGTGCCTGGAAGTTCCTAAGGTGCCAATAATTCCACATCTGTGGATATCTAAAACTGCCCTTCCTTGCCCTGGTGGGAACCCCAAAGTGAAGGGAGCGTAATCTAAGACTGTAGGTTTGCACAACTTCCTTGTAGGACAGTACTCTATAAACACTTTCCGTATCATGGGAATTTCCTGGCCGCACTGTACCTTCTTACAAAGGTAAGCCTGTGGTGTGCACCCACCACACAGCCTGATTTCCTCACAGGGAGGACCTGACAAGAGCCCTGATGCCATGGAGGCACTGGCAGGATGCTCATGGTGTCCTGTGTAGTATGTTTCAAAGATAAGTTTATGTGCAACCTAAGGGGCCAGATCAGCTACAGGTGTGCTGAAGAGATTTAACACATGACAAAAGCGCAAGGATCCTTTCTAAAGGGAAATGACTTTTCATGGTTTATATGTAGTGATGCATATGCCAGTGCTGCCTCCTTGTATGTTATAACTCAATGGTTACTTCAGCCAGAGTGCTTGGAAGGGGCTTCTACACATCTCCCAACTTCAAAAGATTGAAACATCTCCCATCTGCCAAAGGCATGCCTTGTTTCCTCTCTTCCTCCCTAGGAAGAGAATAGTCATCCTTCACTTGCAAATCAGTAAGAAAAGAAGCAACAAAACAACAAAATTCCCTGACAAACTAAAACCACACACAAAAATGTATGGGACTTGCAGAAACCTGGTCTAGTGGAAGGTGTAGTGACACCCATGGCAGGGGGTGATCTTTAAGCTTGCTTCCAACTCAAACCATTCTATGATTCTGTTTATTCACTGATGTCCCTAATTGTAACCCAGAATCCATAAACATTACAAAGGGTTTCTTGAAGTCCTGAGAATCCAAAGCACTAAAAATTTCTCTGTCTTTTGCTTGCAGTGGCCTCAGGTTGTAAATCTTCCAGCTTGGCCCTCCAATAATAATTGCGGTAATTTGTCTCTGTCTGCTTTGGGTAGCTGCTAGCATAGTCCAGCTGATTTCTCGAGAAGGAATGAAAAACAAATCTAAAAGAGAAAAAGGCCAAGCCTCAGAGAACAGTAACAAAGGAGCAAACTGAAAGAAAGTTCAGTCGAATTATCTGTGCCCTAGTGCTATCAGAGGCAGGTGAAGTGAGTCACAGGGAGCCACAGTCCATGCAGGGCCTCATGAATGGGACAAAGAGGATGAGACTTTTATCAGCACTCAACCACTCAAGCAACTTACCAGGCTCATGAGACTACAGCTTCAAAGCACAGAAGCTCTATGTTCAACCTCTCTCCTTTGCTTCCAGGTGACCAGTGCCCTTACACACAAAACATGAAGTCACCAAATGCTGGGCTGTGGTGAGGAGCAGGCAATGAGCCTGCCAAGTGAATGCCAGGCCTCTAACATGGGCAGAAATACAAGTCCAAAATGCCTTTATTTTTTTGCCAGCTGAAACCATTTGGTTTCAGCATCCTGATATTTTATGCCTATATGTTCAACCTCTCTCCTTTGCTTCCAGGTGACCAGTGCCCTTACACACAAAACATGAAGTCACCAAATGCTGGGCTGTGGTGAGGAGCAGGCAATGAGCCTGCCAAGTGAATGCCAGGCCTCTAACATGGGCAGAAATACAAGTCCAAAATGCCTTTATTTTTTTGCCAGCTGAAACCATTTGGTTTCAGCATCCTGATATTTTATGCCAAAAATTAAATGGTCTCTCTCTACTCCAGAGCTCCCATTTCCAGGCCCATAGCCAGTTAATACTTCATCTCTTACTGCAGCGTGACCAGCAGTGGAACAAGCACTAAATGAGTCCTGCTGGTTCTGGTCTGTCAGGATCCCAAGCTGGAGCCTGAGGGACCACATGAGCCACCGCCTGCCCACCACGCCTTCCGTGGTTTGATTTCCTCACATCCCGTGGAGGATCTGTTCGAGTTCAGCCTGCAGGTGCAAGTTTTGCAGTTTATATCTGGCCCACGTTTTTGATGTCAGGAAAAACATTGCAAGAAAATAACACATTATTAAAAAGAAGGGCTCCAGAGACTCTTTTGTATTCCAGTGAAAAGGCTTTTCTTTTAGCAGGCATTTGTGGTGTTTGAGACTTAAATATCATACGAATCTGAAAATTACATTGATTAGAAACTGATTCTTGAAACAAATCATGTTCTTTTCTTGGCAGACAGTAATGAATTCTCATCAATGAGATTTTCTGATCTTGGAATACATTAATTAGCTGAAACATTCTCACATCTCAAAAAACATGTCAAATCACAACTTTTAATTGCATATAATTCCTACCAGTGTTTTGCACCATAAATTCATTTTAGTTACATTCAAGTTTAAAGAAAACATTCTTACCCTTATAATTTTTGTGCAATCCCATAGGAAGAAAAAATCCCTTTTGTTCCAGAGAAAAACAGTAGTTTAAAATAAGTAATAACTTTTGCCACAGGTTTTTACATTTGATTTCTTGCTTTAAAGAGAAAATCCCACACCTGGTAACCCTTATTACCTCCTCCAAACCTCCTGAGTCATGGAAACAGATTTCAGAAAGATGCCCAAGGCCAGTAATTTTAAAAAAAAGAAACAAAACCAAATCCTTTCACCCATTTGTTTCCCAGGTCACAGAATGAAAAGCTGTAGGCCTACTATTTCCATCTTTAGCACACTCTCACTTGAAACTTAGAAAGCAGCTTAAATTTGACTTGCAAAAGAAAGATAGAGGCATGTCCCTACTCCATGGAGAGCATATGAAAAGAATGTGCTTTTTTTACTTTAAGCTTTAGAAACTTAAGCTGTAAGGGGAGAAAGGAAGGCCACAGCCAGGCAGCTGGTACAAGTAAGGTGCAGACGCAGAGTCTCGTCCAGTGACAGCTGGAAAAGATCCATGTTGGAAAACAGCTTCACAAGCCCCCCTGCTCCCTGGCTCCCGGGACATTGCTCTATAGGAAAACTGCAGCTCTGTGTGTGCTTTGTAGGGTTTGAAGTGAAACTGTCATATGGATCTTCAGCTGTATGTGTTTTTTAACTGAAATAATTGTTTGGGGAAAGAAAGGAGACCTCATTGCCTCATATCCCACTGAAACGAAATGCAGCCTATGGCCCCTATCCGTTACTGCTGATTAACTCAAACCTAAACTAAGTACCTCGTCCAAGATGCGAATGCTTCTCAAGAGCTCTTTCACTTGTTTCTGCAGAGGGGGTGTCAGACCCACACTGTGCCAGCTATGGTAGAGCAGTACTACCAGGTAAGTGGACTCATGATGAATACCCAGAAGCAGTTTCTTGCCAGAAGGCTGGGATGAGGCCCATCGAGACACCGCAAACCCAAACACAGAACAATATTGACATGGCTCCCACCACTACTGGCTCTTCAGATCAGTGTTCAGAGACATTACCATTTAATGAGGAAAAAACTGTACTGTTACTGTGACTTTTTGTGATCCTGGTTTTTAGTCTTTTGCCATGCAGCATTATCAGTGGTTTAGGAGTTGCCCTACTTTTCTTTTTTAGGACTATTTTCCCAGGACACATCAAGGGAAGGAACCTGGCTATCCCATTCCCACTGGAAAACTTGGCACTTTCTTCACTAAAACCTTGTTTTCCTGAAAAGAGAAGCTAAAGCTCAGGATAAGCTACCAGCAGATAGTATAGCCCAGCTCAGCACAGGATTCTTCTGGGAGGATGTAAAATGTCAAGCATGGTTCCCTAGCTCTGCCTTGACTGAGCACCTCAAATGTGTCATGTGCCTATGTTTACGGCAAATGCTCCCTTCTTCCCCCCACCTCACACAAGTGTCTATTTCCTTGGAAGATAAGAGAATCAATCTGATGGCAGAAGATACTCAGGATTTTTTCTCTACACGTGAAATAAAATACTCTGCATGTACATATTTATGTCCACCATATATATGTCCATCCACATCTTCCTGAACAGGAAGAATCAGATTTTTAAAAGTATTAAACATATAGCAGAATGCTTTGAGGTCACTTGTGAAATTTCTTCTCCTTTCCCACCTTTGCCTTTAAGCATCTACAAAGATCTGTGAGGTTTCAAAAGGGAACCTTTGTAATCCTGTTCTGTGCCTTGTCCTAGGTTCAGCAGTAGCAGTCATGTTTCTCCTCCTTGGTAGCTGGTGCAGTGCAGTGTTTTGACTTTCAGCTCGGGAACAGAGCTGATAGAGATGTTTTGGTTTGGCCAAGGACTTTGTGAGCCTCATGCTCTGCCACGGAGGAGGGGAAGCTGGGAGGAAGCAGAGACAGGACACCTGACCCAAACTGACCAAAGAGCTATTCCATACCACAGCACGTCATGCCCAGGATGTAACTGGGAGTTAGCCGGAAGGGCTGGGAGACTGCAGGGTTGGAGGAGGTATCGGTCGGAGTTTGGTCGGGCTTGGGGGGCGAGTTATCGGTCAGCGGGTGGTGAGGTGATGTATTCTCTTCCCTTGTTATTTCCTTTATCATTATTATCATTGGTGGTAGCAGTAGTGATTTGTGTTATACCTTAGTTACTAAACTGTTCTTATCTCAACCCGTGGGAGTTGCATTCTTTTCAATTCTCCTCTCCATCCCTCCGAGAGCAGGGGGAGGGCAAGAAAGGGGGGGTAAGTGAGCGAACGAGTTACCTGACTGGGTTTAAACCACGACAGCCTCTTTGCATTTCAAGGCAATTAAGACTCTAAAAATATCTTCAAGAGGCATTGACACTAGAAGAATGTTCTGTTTCATTAATGGTTATTTAGTTTTTCTTAAGGCTTCCTTTAACTTCAGAACACATTTGGGACAACCACGGGATACTTTCAGTGAGATTCAATAACACTATGACTCACTGACATATAGGAGTACGACACACACTTGAATATGTCCAACAAAAAGGTGCTGCAGATCCTTGTTCTGGTGGCATTCCTCCTGTTAAGTGTGCTTTCTTCTTTCAGCCTTGACTTTTCACCAAGTTGTCTTCATTATTCAAAGTGCCATAGTATGAACTGTGAGAATCTGGTTGTATTTTGCCTGTCAAATTTTGTCCTAAGGAAATAGGGGGAGGGAAGGGAAAAACAACAACTCTGTGAAGAATTTCAAGCAAACAAATCCCCCACCAATCCATCATTTAAACATTCTTTGCTCCAGTAATCACTGTTTTTATTTGATCAGTTGTAACAATAGCTTGGAAAAACTCTGAAAAATTCTTTGAAAAATCTGTTGGGAACAGGAATAGAAATTAAGGGAACAGTATATTTATTGAATATGACTAGAGCACATTTGTGACTCAACTCTCCTAAGTCATCCATTATCTGATATATCACTTTTAACAGAGACAGAAAAAAAACAACCCTACTTACCAGGAATATGTCCACAGTCAATAAAAGGAACTTGTAAATGCTCCTCTTTTTTATTTCTTGCAATTACAAATACACCAAGGAAAGACAGGAGACACCTGCAAAATAATAGTGGTACGGTATCATTAGAAACAGTTTACTGCATCTGAGATGATAATTTCTTTCCATGTTTCTGTTTCAAGGACTTCCCAAACCCAAGCTGCTCAGTTTATATAGAGACTTTTCTTCCTGGCAGCTCTATATACTCATCCTGGGCTCCCTCTCAGCCTCATTTTTGTCTCCTGAAGCTTTATTACCAGTTCCAAAGGTTTCACAAGCAAAATCACACTTTCAGCAATATATACCTAACCAAATGCCTGTGTGAGACCACAATATTTGAATCCCTGAGCAAACCTTCACAAAGTATCTAATCTAGTATTCTAGCATTTGCAATTTCATTAACAAGTCAGACTAGCTACAGGCAATCAACATCTCTGTTGTTTTTCTCGCTTAACTGTGTGTCTCAGGGGCAAGCTATAAGCCAGAAGCAGTGAAAAACTGCTATGCTTAGATAAATCTTCTATTCACCCTGTGCTGGACATGGAACCACTAATTCCTGCTTGCCAAATACATGAGTTGAATTTGCCCATCTCTGTTTTTTGGTCACTTTTCCTGCAGTCAGACAAGATGGCAGTTGTGTGCACCTACTCCAGTCCAGCTGCAGAGGACAAAGATGTCTGTAGCTGTCGGCCCCATTTATTTGACATCACTGGGGCAAGAAGACACCTCCATCAGTTCTGGGAGATGCTTTTAACCATCTCACCCCATTGTCAGTCACTTAAGTGTCACCTGTCCCACCAGGGACAGTTGTTGTGGTGCTGGTAGCCAGCAGAAGGTTTCTGCTCTCACAATACCTAGGTCCTTCTTCAAACATTTATTGTTAACAGATTTTTAGTATGCTTTGAACTTTTCTGCAGGCAGTCTGTGTCTTTCTCTGCACAGGAAGATGTGGGGAGAGAGTTTATAGTACAGCCTCATAGGCAAGCAGCTCATATAATTGCCCATGCCTAGTGGCAGCAAAGACCAGCTGGGCACACAAATGGAAGGTAACATGGGAGGAGATTTCTCTCAGTTGTAAAAGCACCCCCTATAACATGATCTTTGGTGGAGAACAGTGACTTCTCCTTCCTGCTGGAGGAGCACATGCTGCTGGTTTTTCATTCCATCATGAGATTAGTAGTTCATAAGTGTCTCACATTTTTACATATTTGGATTCAAAACCAGGCCTCCAAACTCCCAAAGCACAGACATCAATCTTTCCTTTAATGTTTTTTTATCCTACTATAATGGCTATTCCATAATGCTTTAATAACAAGACAGGTTTCTTCTTACTGAGAAAAGAAGGGATTCCACAAGGCAATACTGTTTCAGTACAAACATAAGCACAGATTTCAGGCCAATACACTTACCCGAACAGAAACATGAACAGGCTCAGCAAAGCTGAACTTTGGAATTCCCGATAAAATATGACCCCTGGAATGTGACAGAAACAAGAATTGCAGATTTTGACTGGCTTCCAAGTGATATGAATTACAGCTGGGAGGGTGAGGAGCATTGTCATGCTCAAATGGAGCAAAAAAAAAAATCCAAACAAGGTATTAATGCACATTGTGATGGGCTCACTTTTTGTGCCCGTATTCCATTAAGTAGGCTTTGTCAGGATACTGCATGGGATTGAAGATTAAATCTATCAGGTTGAAGCATCTGCTGTGTTAGTAACTGCACAGATGCAGGTATTTTTTTGCATTGTCAGCAACAGTTTTTATGCAGGTCAAACTCAAGGTCTTATTCACAAGCAGAGTCATACCAATACAGCTAACAGGTTTTTTGTGGATTTAGTTAAGCCACTCCAACATACCATGTGGACATCTGAACTCCAATTGGGAACAGGTTTTCGGTAACTAGCTGTGTCCCTGAAGTTTACACCAAGTTAAGGGCTCCAGCAGCCAAGTTTGCCAAGTCTTTCTGGCTGAAAGGAACACTAGGTCTTTCTGGTCACCTCTCTTCCAGGAATTAGCACCTCTGCAGTGGAGGTGACAGAACCAGATGTGTATCTGGATCTCAGCTGCCCCAATTCACAGCCAAGTATATTAGCTTTAAAACACTGATGAGCATATTTCTGCTTAGAAACACCAAAGTGTTAACCAGCACAGCTGAAGTGTGACTGTATCTTCAAAGGCTGTAACTGGGAATGGGGTGTCATGAGAGAGGTACCTTCTACAATCACCCCAGTAAGATTCAGCAAAGGTTGTTCTTCTAAGCCCTACACTGATTTAACTAACCTGGTGCAAATGCATGTGTATCCAGTCTCAAAGCTATTAAGCTATTCCTGAATAGGTACTTGATCTTTTAAGGAGGCACAAGGCCAAATTCCCCATATGGTCACAAGAACGCAACCCCTTTTTGGCACATGTCTCAGTCACAAAGTGTAGGTCTCTTCTAACACAGGTGCTGAGGCAATCTGTGCATGAAGCTAACTCCCATTCTCATTAATGGCAGCTCTGCATGAGAAACTCCTGCACAGCAATGACAGGAAAGCCCCAAGTGTGTGTTAAAACGAGTCATAAATGTTCTAACAACATGATCATTTTGGCTCACTGCTGATACAGCATCTTGGTCATCCTCCTTGCTTATGTTCTTATGCTGCGCACCATTTCCAAGATTTGCAGTCCCTCTTTAACAACACTGAGTTCAAAGTTCTCACCCAGAATAAAATGTTAAATGCTCAGAAAGTCTTTGGGGTAATTTTATTTCCTTCACTTAACCTAGAATTCCACCTTCTGAAATGGAATATACACTAACTACTATGAAACACAGCTGGTTGTCATTTGAGTAGTTTGCCAGGCTGTCAAAATTACTCTACCAGTTCGGATGCAGAGAGGCTGGTGTGCACATGGTGAATGCATTTACTGTATGTCAAGATGAGGCCAGGGTAAATGCAGGTACTTCTAGTAAACCAGCAAGGCATAGTAAACCATACATAGAAATTCTGGAAATGCTAGAATTTGATTGTTTTTATTTTGCTTCAAAAGTTGTAAACTTAACTAATTTTTCAGACTTAAACACCTGTCAAATAGGAAAAACTTTTTGTGAAGTCAGACATGACTGGTTTGTTCCTCTTCACAAGCAGTAACTCTTAAAAACCTGATGTTTAGAAAATCATTCTGGAGAGGCAAAAGACGAGAAACAAACCTGAAATGATGGCACTGGTGGTGAAGAAGACAAAATTAATGGGCATAACTGCTGTCGCCTCATACAGATGCATTGCTTGATTCAAGAACCTGGAAGACAAGTGTTACTGTACCTCATGCCTACAGGAGGTTCATTGCACTTTAAGTCAGGTTAAGCCACTTTATGTCAGTTTAACAAAAAGTGTGACCATTTCTTACCACAATAGCAAGTAACCCCAGACAGATGCATATGTATGTTGAATTTACCTTCTGGTTTTGACTCTGCAGAGTACAAACAAATAGGCAAAAGCAAGAACGCTGGCGTGGATTCTTCTGGCATAGGCTATCCTTTGAAGCACTGTTGGAAAAACTTTGTCTGCCACAGATAAGGGAGGAATGCTGGGGTATTATTGCTTATGGTCTGCACCGGCTCTTGGAAGCAGTGCTGCCTGTGAGCAGCCAGGGACAAGTTGCTCTAATTTAAGCAGGATGTGTAAGGCTATATTTCCAACATGGACATGAAAACGTAAGTTCTTGTAGGAACTCTTCCACTTTGTTGATGTCCATATTGCTTCTACTGCTTAATCCAACTTGACTAAAATGCCTATTTGTACGTGTATTCATGCAATCATACCCCAGACACTCTGTCCTGATGGGAAAGTCCAGGAAGGTGGCTCCTTGTTCCTTGGGTGGGAAACTCTGCTGTGTTTCTCAGAAAGGCAACACAAACACCCACTGCAATCCCAAGTAACAGTGTGCAGGACCGCAGGGCCGTACACTGCATACATGCATACGCTGGCCATGGAGCAGCCTGCACAGTCAGCTTCGGTGGATGAAAAAGGCAAAGCAATTAACTCACTTGTGTGGAGACCACAGCTATCAACATTTACCCATAAGGTGATGAATCATGACTCTGAGCTCTTGGGTGCACTGGTAGATACACTGTTATGTGAATGGTGCATTTCAGACCAAAAGAGAAAAATCAGGAGGCTGCAGAGTGTACTCAAAACCTATAAAAAGAACCGCACTTAAATGTTTCACTGGTACAATATATGTCCACAGTAAAAATCCAAGCTTGGATCTGTTTTAGCCATTAAAGTAATTGCATAGTTATTTTAGCAACTGTTGAACAGTCTCCATGGTGCTTTAAAAATAAAGAAATCCTACATATCCACAGGATAGTCAGGATTTTGAAGTCATTGAAAACACCTCATTATTTTCTCCCTTTTGCAACAAACTCGGTCACTGGGACTAAAACAGTGATACCAAAGCCTAGCATTGAATCCAGGAGGATGCTGCAGCACAGGCTGTTTTGAGCTAACACACAGCAGTCAAATAAAACAAGAGAGGAAACAAATAAAATGAAAAATGTAGACTGACAGCACTGTCTCTGTGAGAAAATGTGTCCAAGAGAGAAACACTGATCCCAGGGCATGAAATGGGCACATTTAATTTCTGCTTTAATTCTGGCTGAGCAAAAGAAAAAAAAAAAACAAAAAAAATAACCCCAACCCCCCTCCCAAAAAAATGCCAAAAGAAAGAAGTTAATTCAGCAGCTTCCTATTTACCAGGCTTTTATTTCCTATTTTAAATGCTCTGAGCTGCTCTCCCAGCAAAGACAAGTTGGATGCAAATCACTCTATAATCTGTTACAGGGGAGTTCCTGAGTCAGCCACAGAGAGTCACTGAATAATAATGCATGGACTTTCTGATTCCACATGGGAATGGTATGTTCTGCCACGAGAAAGCTGGGTTGGCTCTTCTACCGGAAAATAATCATGCAAGTAAACACTCAGACTCACACTGGAGCAATCTAGATGAGATTACTGAATGATGCTATCAGCACCTGAAGCAAAGGGACCGGCATAAAGAGAATGGACTCTGTTCAGCTGCAAGCCATATTTTACCATGCTGCCACCCCCAGCAATCTGCAAAGGCAGCATAAAGCAATTACTTCAGAGGCCAGAGGGGAAAACTTGAATGTCCCCAGCACACCAAAAGTTAACTATTTCCTAAAAAAGTACAGGCATACAGGGTAGCAAAACACAGCATGCAGATTTAACAGAGGCAGGAGAAGGCTGGGATAAACTCTCTTCTGCAGTCTGACTAGGGACATCAGCTGGAGATGTATAATGAGGGTAAACATGGCCATTTGCTTATTCAGCGATGAAGGTTTCTAAAAGTCACACCTCTCTCCTCCCCCTCCCCCCCTCCCCCCCCCCCCCAGTTTACATAAACATATATTTAATTTAATGAGTTCAAGTTCAGTGTCCCAAAACTGAAAGTAAATTTGGGAAGACCATGTATAAGGTGATAATGAGAGAAGGTGGCATCTAGAAATCAATTGTAAACTGAAAAATAAAGCCTAAATAAACAATACAATCAGCCATAGGCAATTCATGTGTCTGGTAAGGCTCTGCCAGGATTTTGTTGCCTTTAAGTGCAGCTTGTATCTGGAGTCGGTATCAGAACCAAAACTTACAGATAAAATGTGTATGAAGGTATGGAGGTACGTAGACTCTCACTTACTTGACTTGGAAAGCACAAGAGGTTGCCATCAAAACAATCATGATATAGAAAACAGGATAAGTTAGCTGCATTTTCCCCTTCACAGAGAGTGTTATCATGCTGGCCACAGCCTTTACGGCAATGACAGTCAATGACGCTGAAAGGGAAAAGGAGAGGTTAGCAGGGCAGGACTCACAGCAGTGACCTTGGAGCATCAGTGAGGGAGGAGAAAGTGCCAGGTCAGACTCACAGGTTGATAACCTAAAATGACTGAGATAGGGTCTGGGCACCTAAACCTAAGTGTGTGATTTTATAAATGCTCGCTCAAATACTGCCTCAACTCAGTGGCCTTAGCTCCATGCATGCTTTGTACTTTGCTTTTAAGTTCCTCTAGCACCGTGTCTGCAACCCTGCATCTACTCAGTTTCACCATTTTCAGCAGGGTAGCTGAGGTTAGAGTCAGATAAATCTTTCAAAGTGAGACTCGTGTGTCTGTGTGTGAGAGAGACTGAGTTCATCATGAGGAAAGAACTGGACACATTTTGTTGAGCTGGGCATATGCCCTAAACACTGGAATACCAGTTAGAGGTGGTGTAACAGCTTCCACATCTTCCAGACATACTTTATTGAGCTAACTTGGAGTCCATGTTGTATTGTTCAGGAGAGGTCCGAGAGGACTCGTTATCTGTTCAAAGTAGCTGGGACACCTCCTAATAGCAGCCTAAAGTAATCCTCCCCCTCAGGATCTCTCTATGGAGACAGGAGCTAGCCAAAGCTGGTCAAAGCTGACTTCTGGGATCACATCCCGAAGCACCTAGCTCTCCTCACAGGTTGTGGGTGGAGAGCAGACAACCGACGCAGGGGTTTGAATTTTGTTTCACAGTCCAGGCTCTTATGACCATTTATTGGATCTAGCCACAGAATACAGTATTTCAGTGGTGTGTTTTCAATCCATTTAGTCACTGTCATTGCATTACCACAGACAAATTTCAGACAGCAGGCAATGGCTTTAATACACGTTGCCAGTTCAGAGAAGTCTTGCAATCCATATCTTTTAGAAAAGGGTCTGACAAACCAGCTAAGAGTTACTTTAGGTTTGCTTTTGGAGTGTGCTCTTGGCTTGCTGAAGCTAACCCAAGTAGGCTGTGATTACTGCAAATAAAATGTAACAAATTCAGAAGAGACTAAAAACGATAAGAAGAGTCAGGGTGCGGAGATGACTTTTGAAGAAAGGTAATTAATCGTCAGGAGCACTGTCCCTCAGCTGGGATCCAGTTCCACCCTCTTCCAGAGCTGAGGAGTTTTGGATTTCAGTGGTCTGATTCATCCTCCCATAACTGCAAAATGCAGATTGGCAAGGATAGCTGCACTGTGCAAAAAGTTCAGGCCAAGGGTTGGGAGAAAAGGTGGGGGAAGAGGAATGAATTCAGGTCTGTGGTTTTGACTGCAAGCATTTTTCTTACAGCAAGTCCAAAAGTTCAGGGGGAGTTTAAGAGTTGTATATATCTTGTGATGATTCTGTTCACCATCATGAAATTCACTGTTTTCCTGACAACCTTTCTACCAAGTACTTCACTTCTTGCTCTGTAATGGAAATAGGTGGAGGGGTTTAGCAAACAAAGCAGTAAAACTGAGCCGAGGAGGTCAAATGCTGGTCTGCAATGGTGCTAATGGTATGATAAAAAGCCAAAAAATACACTCAAGTCCCAACAAGCAGCCTACATGAAAAATGAAATCTGTACTCTAACAGGGTGGAGTTATTACTTTAAAAGAACATTTAGAAGCAAAAATTAGTAGTTTGAATTGTTCAACTAAGGGTAAAGACTGCTAAAATATATTTCTGATGAAAGGGCATTTTCCATCCCTTAAAATTTTAACAAACCAGAAGAGAAAGCATCTTTTTCTTTCTTTTTTTTTTTTTTTCCGTTTTATTTTGGTTTTTTGTTGGTTGGGTGGGGTTTTTTGAAAAGTGGAATGATCTCTTTAGTTAAAGTAGCCCTGGGATAAGTTTCAAAACCTAGGAAATGGTTTTCCTATCTCTGATAGAATGACACCCCCCTAAGGCTAGTGTGACAAATGATGTCACTTTCCAGCTGTTAGGGCAGGAAACTCAGAAATCCCACTTTAATCTGAAATATTTTCCCCCAAACTTATGATAACTCCCAGTATATACATGAGGTAAGACAATTCCCACCAAATGAACTTGCAGAGTTGCACTAAGCAAAACGTTTGCAGATTTTACAGTCACCCCTGTATTTTCTTAAAATGAAAGCATCACCCATACCCAGTAAAACACAAAGGCTGCTCTCTCTTTAAAGAAACCTTCCCACATTTAATTTACACCTGTATGAACCCTCCACCAGAAATGTATCTGTGCAGATACGAGAAAAGGCAGAAATCCCCTTCAACAAGCTGCCACCAAGACCCCAAGCCTCATGTACTCCTCCTGCAGCCAGGGCCCTCTAAGGGCAGTGCATGAATCAGACAGCTTGGAGCAAAGCTGCTGGGCCCTCCCTCAGCACCCCCATCACTCTGCTCAGCTGAAAGGTCAGAGACCCAGCAGAAGGCTCTAAGTGTAGTTTTGTGGGGACTGGCAGGCACCAGGACAGCTGCAGGAATCACAGCCAGCCACAGTTCTGGGTTTCCTGCTCAAGGGAAATGTCAGTATTTCAAAAGTTCCCATGAACCAGGATTTGTTTGTTTGTGTCTTTTTTAATAGAGCTGAAATAATGACACATTTTTTCTCAATCTGCATATGCTCACCAAAACCTCAGCAGCCACCAGCTGAAACTGTATTTTTGGTTGATTACGGCTTGACCACCCAGCTGCAGTTAGTGTCTGCTGCTGTTCGGCAGCTCCATGTGCCCCTTTGGCAGTGGTGGCATCAGGGCTGGCAGGCTCCATGGCAAAATAAGCACACAGGGCTGCACAGTCCAATGGCCCAGGTCTCCCAGAGCCATATGCTCACTGTTTAGGGCAGCTATCATGGTGGGTCTGCCCAGAACGGCAGCAGTCAAGTGCAGAAGCCCATCTGGGGATCTTCAGGCTTCCAGCTATGGGACAAGGAGGCTGGATCTGCACATTGCTCAGGAGCACACAGTGCTTTGAGCTCCTTATGGCAGGTTTGAAAGCTGCAGAGCAGCTCAGGTGAGCTCTGCCAAAGCTCCTAGGTTCTGTACTAGAAGTGGGAGGATGGCTGTACTCACACTTCATTCCTCCAAACAAAGAGAGGTCAAACAGTTCAACCTGTGAGGTTCCTATACCTCTGACTCATCCAAGAAGCATGGAAAGCCTTCAAGGCTTCTTCAGAACTACAAATCCTAATCTCCCTAGCACTGGGAAACTTAAATGGGAAGACTGTCCCAAAAGTTGATCTGAAAGTCTGAGCTTTTCATCTAAGTAAGTTCAACAATGACAAATGTGAAGTGTTGCGCTTTAGAGTACCAGTATAATCCCAGAGTGCAGCACAGGCTGGGATCTGCCCAACTGGGAAGCAGCTATGGGACCTGGGGTTCCCAGTAGACAAGCTCAGTATGAACAAACAGTATGCTGCTGTGGCAAAGAAAGCCAACAGGATGCTGGATTGCATTAACAAGGGCATCACCGGCAGAGATGAAGAAGTCATCACCTCACTCTTCTCAGTGCTTGCTGGGCCACCTCTGGAATACTGTGCTCTGTTTTGGTCCCCACTATACAAAAACGATGCGAACAGGCTGGAAAGGGTCCAGAGAAGGGCCACAAAGATGGTCAAAGGACTGGGAAGGCTGTTGTATGAAGAAAGGCTGAGAGAAAGGAGTTTGTTCACCCTAGAGAAAGGAAAGCTCAGGGGAGACCTTATCACCATGTTCCAGTATTTAAAGGGTGGCTACAAAGAAGATGGAGACTCCCTTTTTACAAGGAGTCACATGGAAAACAGGAGGGGTAATGGGTACAGGTTACTGCTGGGGGGATTCTGATTGGACACAAGAGGAATATTTTTCACAGTGAGAGCAATCAGCCACTGGAATAATTTCCCCAGGAAATTAGTGGATTCCTTGAAGTTGGACACTGGGTGCTGGGCCATCTCATCTGGACTGTGCTTTTGATTTGAAAGGTTGGTCCAGATAATCCTTAGGTCCTTTTCAATCTGGTGTTCTACGATTCTGTATGCAAACGGGCATAGATAATTAAAAGTTCCTGTACAGACATAGCGTATCACTGAAATCACTGCATTTGTTTACAGACTGCTTACAAGGTCTTGAGCTGTACTGTTTTGATGAACTATTTTTCACAGCTAGTCTGCTCTCCAAAACAAAGTTTAAAACAGTCTGCATTCCCAAGATCTAATACTAAAGTATTGTTTAAAAAAAGCCTCAGAATACCATTGTACACAGCGTATTAATTTCAAAAAATCTGTAAAAAGAGATAGTCCCAACAATAAGCATAGAAACTGTTTCATAAACCAGCTTTTTTCTTCAAAAACAGACCACAGTAGGAATCATGTGAAATATTTCAATGATTCTCCTTCAGCACACTGCTTTGAAGTGGCCCTACTCTAAACTAGCTTGAGAGACTGACAAGCAATTATCAAGTAACAGACAGCAACACTGAAATGAATAATATGTTCTTACCCAGTAGTGCTACCATCGTTAACAGAACCACAATGTGTTTCACAGCTTTTCTTTTGTAAAAATAGAGGAGAATGCAGAATATTATAATTTCTAAGATCTGAAAATGAAAAGGAAGAAAGTTAGAGCTTTGAAACTATGTAATAAATGCTTCAAAGTCTTTGAGATGTCACAATCACTTTTGTTGCTCTAACAGTTCAAAGAAGAATTACTTTATAATGCATCTTCTGCTCAGAGCTAACCTTATTGCCAGTTGACAAACAATTGTTGTCATTTATCTTTTCTATTATAGCAGAAGTTAAACTTTGAGTATTTCTTACCCCTTTAATTTTCTTTTTGCACTTCTAGATATATCTTGTCACTGGTAGCATTGAGAAGACTTTTTTAATGTGACAGCAAAGATACCCATGTTTATTGATAATAATTCTTACAGAATTATTGATAATAATTCTTCACTTCCTATGGAGTGAAGCACTTGCCTGGAGGAACAGCAGTCTCCTAAGTTATGGTATTCCTAGTGTCACTCTTTGTGACACGCAAGCTTACTTTTGCTGCCAACTTAGCCCTTCTCTCCAGTCCTACTAAAAAAAAAAACCACAACCCCAAACACTGTATTTCTTGTTTTCTGCCATACATCATAAGAAGGAAAACATTTATTTCATGTGGTGGTTCTCAAATCACAGGTGTCTGTCGGGAGGTTTCCTTGGAAAGCTCAACGACACACTAGTAGACCTCACTGTGGGATATCTGTAGCTGCTAAAGCAGATTTGCCTACATGGTCCAAATTTGGTCCTTCAATAACTGGCAGGTAAACAGTAGACAATTAAATTTACTGACTTGCTGTTAAGGTACCTTTTTGCAGATTCCCTTAGTAATTGTTGCCATTTGCCATCTCAAAAGCATAGGTATTCTCCCTCTTACCTGAGTTGCCCAAATACTGCTCTATGCCTAAAGAAAACACTAAGTGCAAGAGTCAAAAAAAGCTTCTGTGAAGCTCAGAAGACTTATGAAAACACAGATGATGGAGAAAGAGAAGTTCTTTTGTGCACTTTGGAAAGTAATCAAATGGGGGAAAGAAGACAGAGAATGAATTTGTCATCATTACTGAATCTGCTTATCATACTTTTTTTGCCAACGTAACAAGTCATAGAAAAACCTCATGTCTATCTCCTTGGGTTTGTCACCAACATAATATTTTACATTTTATAACACCACTCTAATCAACATCTGCTACAAGGCAACACTAGACTCGAAAATACCTGGGTGTTGCGCTGATGAAATTTTCAAAGAAGCAGTTATATCATAGAATCACAAAATGGTTTAGGTTGGAAGGGGCCTTAAAGTTCATCCAGTTCCAACCCCTTTGGCATGGGCAGGGACACCTTCCACTAGACCAGGTTACTCAAATAATATAACAGCAAATTCTTGTTTTGGGGAGTGACTACAGCAGGAAAGCAGTCATCAGCTACATTCAGTTACTAAAATTCTCTACCACATTACACCTCCCCCAGTTTTGTAATGTTCAAAAATATGAACAGAACATGGTAATGTTTAATTCATTTTTTGTTTACCTTCACCCTGATCCCTTGTTCCCAAAGACAGCTCAGAAACAATTGAATTTCAGAACATTAAAACCACAAATTTGGGTTTTATATTACCTTTCTTTAAAAAATACCAAATAGTTATCATAAGAAAAAAAAAAAAACAAATCAACAACAACAACAAAAACCCACAACATTTTGGTGTGTTTTGGTTTTGCAAAACGTGATGAATATAATGTTTTGCTGTTGCTCAAAAAAACCCCACAACATTCCTGGAGTAATCCTTGTTTAACAGTCTTTGCAATCTCATATGAAGAGCTGGTCTCCTCTTCCTCTAGAGTGACATCCCTCTGCACCAGGCTTGCTTTAGTTCTCACCTCGTGCTCCCTAGCACCCAACCTGTTCTTCCATGGTTCTGTGCCACTCAGTGACCCACCAACTGGTCACCTTTAATTGCAAGACAAAGGAGAGGCCATCACATTGAGTCACACTGCAAGCAAAGTGCATGACTTCAAAGAGGACCTCACACAGACAGGGACCCTTCCTGGAGTGCCTCAGCTGTTGCCTATGGCTGTCTCCTAAGAATTACCCAAAACAGTGCTCACTCTCATAGCTGATAGCTGCGGTAGTGTTAAATACAAAGTCCAGGAATGGGAAGTGTGTATATTTTATCAGCTTCACATAATTCTGTTTAAAAGAACTGAAGGAACTTGACCTGCTTAGAATCATTTTTGCTATTACATCCAATCTCTACTGAAGTCTCCACAAGCCCACATCTTATCAATCAACCTTTTTTATAATCATGATTTTTTCCAGAAGGCACCAGAATAAAATATTACATTGTCTGCCTCAACTGTTTTTTTCTGGGTTATACAGCACCATAAGGACCAACAAATGAGGAGGATCTTCTATGCACTTCGAAGGAAAAGCAGAAATGCTTTGAACCTGATTTTACAGAGATTAAATATTGATGACCCAATACTCACTAAGCTTCTGTTTAAGGAAACCTAAGAGCTTCATACATAATTGATGTCTTCTGTAGTGACTTGAAATACATATAAGCAAAAGAAAAAAAAACAAGCTAGAATAGTCATTCTTGCTCAGACATGATTATGCTGCTGCAGAGACTCAGGAGGTGACTCAAAGTTGTCTTATGTGGGAACTAGAGGCTATTTCTGCAGAACTCCTCTGATGCCAGTAGAGTGCCACATGGGGATGGTTTATCACCCACACAGAACATTTTGTACCACTGGGGCTTTGTATTTCTCAGCAGACCACACTTTGGGGGTACTTTCAGAAAGCCTGTTGGGCTGCCTTATTCTGCTATACTGTCTCCTCGCTCTATATTTATACTGTAAGCTCTGCAACTTCTGCCTTGCTTTTTTATATCTCAGCAGTCAACCTGTGCTAGGCATTTTACAAACAGCTATGAAGAGCTAATTCCTTGCCCAAAGAGAATGTTTACAGGAGGGTTTGCTTGAACCTCTAGCAGTATACCAGGATAACCAGGCTGGTATCTCAGAGTCTCTCGTAGAGCCGTTCCTCTCTCCTTTTTGGACAGAAGAAGCTCAAAGCAGATGAATTCAGGAAACAGAATTAACAAATACAGCTTAATATGTTGTAGAGTCAACAAGATCTGCTGTGTACTTGCTCCTTCTACAACCCATGTTGTACATGTAAAACTGGATGCTGGCTGAGGCCAGGAGAAGAGGGAAGAGAAGTCCAGGGTTTACCTACCACCTCCTCATAATGTCACCTAAGAAGAACACAGCACAGTCTTCCTAGGCAGTCAACTGTGTTCTTATCAACTTTTCCTGAAATAAAGTCAGAAAAGTCCTCAGATGGGAAAAAGCCCTTTTGCTGTTGATCCTGTTGGTTTTAAGAAAATACGAATAGGATATGGCACAGAAATTTCTGGTATCACTGGCTGTGGATGTGGAGTTTTCTTCCTCCACCACCTCTATGCAAGTGGCTGAGTCAGAAATTTAAAATCGGTGCCTAAAATATCAGGCTGTTTTCGTACCTGTAAGTGGAACTGCATGATAGAAGGGAATATTCAATAGGAAAGAGAGAGGGCTCTCCACTGAGCACAGAGACCCCTGTTCTGAACTTCCTCTTAAAGAAGTCACTCTCCCTCTGCTGATTACATGGATTTGCTGAAGCTCTTTCTGAGGCTGAGTACCCTACTGAGTACCCCACTGAATACCCCAAAACTCTTAGGCATTGCCTTCAAAACCCTCTCTACTGCCTGACTGAAAGTGTATGTTGTGATTTATGCAGTATGATTATTAATTACTTCCACTGAGTTGTACCACCATCTTTCAGGAGCTCTTAAAATGCACAAAAATATTAATCAAGAGAATCAACATTTGCTGTGGTATCATGTACTTTCTGCTTAATCAGAAGTCCTATGGATAGTTAGATATACGTGAAGTCTGCAGGCTGGGAGAAAGATTAAGGTGCTTAAACTGTCTATTCAGTGGCTTTCTATCTGAGCTCCCTACCAAGAGAAGCCTGGGCACTAATAACATAACCCAAGTGAGCCACTTTACCGGGAAAAAGTAACTGCTTCTGAATCTCCTATATTGCATTTTTACATTCAGCTGGAGGAGCAAATTTTCAGCATTCCAGAGGAAAAGAAAGAGAAAAATTCCTCCTACTCACTCTGGTCTTGTTCCTGAGGCTAATTAAAAACATCAAAGATGATGTATGGTATTTGAAGTTTGTATACAGATACTTTAATCAGAATCGTATTTCTGTATTCAAAATTCAAACTCAGGTTCAGATTAACCTGAGTGAGAATGAAGCAGGCTGCCTCTCCCCATCTCAGCTCCATAAAAAAAGCTCCTTTCAGCCAGGCTTAACAATATGGGGATAAAACAGAGCGATATGAAAGAAAATAGCAGGACCAAGAACATATATAACCTGATTTGTAAAAGTACAAGTCCATCACATTCCAGAAAATCCTGTAACTTATATGTACACGCAGTGTGGCATGAACACATATACAGGAAATATAAGTAGTACCATATTTAGGTTTCCCTCACGTCTACCAAACCCCCAAATCTTTCCATTCCTCTTAATCCTGCGTATCTGTGACTTTCCCCTGGCATCTGCGCATCAGCATATCTAGGGACTGGGGTGGTGACCCAGATTCTCTCTCTCTCTCTTCAATTTACCTTTAGGACAGTTTTTCTGCCACTAATTTGTAATGCTGCAAAATACCCAATAACCCAAATTTTTCTGATTTAGGAGGTGGTACGAACCAGATACTCACCGAATATACCAAAAAAGGCCAACTTACTAAGTAGTTCTGTACTTGTCTTGCTGTGATCTCTTGGGGTACATTTGGAGCAAATGTCACCAACAAGTATGTACCTGTTACTGACAGTGTTCCTCCTTTAAAAGAAAAGGACATGTTATTTCAGTAATATAATATTTGGTAATCATGGTCATCCTTGCTCTTCAGCTGATTTCAAAACAGTTTCTAGAAGAAAACTTAAGTCCATCTAATCAGATCTGGGCTTGGGTAATTGGGTTGGCTTGTATTTGTGGTCTTATCTAGTGTAATTTTTACTAAAGACTCAAAGGAATTTGGAAATATGAAAAAGAAAAGCTGTCAGTAAAGGCTTGTGAATTAGGATTCCTACTCAGTAATGCATTTTCAAATATTCCCGATTCTAATATCAAGTCCATGACAAAGGAGAATCCATTCTTTTTGTTTCTCACAGGCACAAAGCAGATCACATAAAATTATCCTAAACTGAAAGGACAAGTTGCTTACTGAGGCAGACAGCTAGATCATTAATCAGTGTAAATAAATATAACTCTTCCAAAGCTGGTGTAGCCACTGAGATCTGCACCAGCTAAGGACCTGCCCTGGAAACATTAGGCACAACACATGTTCCAGTCCAGTGCTCATGTGAAGCTGTCACAAAGCCAACATTTTGGCTGCTCCCTGTTGTATTTGCAGACCTATGAACTGTTGATTTGAAAGGTTGATTTGCAGAAGGCTGTTCAGCTGTTAGGTTGCCAGGGCCCCTTTTCAAGGTCGAACTTGCGTTATTGTGCTTTTAATAAAAATCTGGAAGTTCTGCCTTGTGGACAGCCAGCTGACAAACACAGATGTTCATTGAGGTATCAAGATAGAAGTGAGCCGATCCTGAGCTCATAAACTGTATTGGATTAAGGAAGATGTTAGCTAATCAATTTTTTTTTCAAGTAATCTTTAAAATTCTTGGCAAACCTATAAATCAGTGTGGAATACAAGGCTCAGGAATACAAAACAAAGCATATCCGGAGGGCTTTGCTGGCACTGCTATCGCACACCGTTCCTTTGGAAAAGCAGAGCTGTTCTATATTTATGTGCTTGCAAAAACATCACCATATTTCCCATCATATAGCTCATTCCTATGGAATGTAGTAACATTGTTAAATCCTTCTTGCAAAGTTGAACACAGAGAAATAAAATAAATCAGTGCTGAACACTAGTTAAAGCAACACACAATGTGTAAGGCCATAAGGGAAACATGATCAGTCAAGAGAGGGGGGGATTTTGAATGTAGCAGCTGAGCTGGCAAACTTGGATTCCAAACCTAAATAACTGTTTTATAGTATTCCTGGAACAATACTGGACAGATCTCTCTAAAACATGAGTACAGCTGGGATGTCCTCCTTAGATGCTAGGAAACCCACAGAAGTATCAGGTGCCCTGTAGCAACATCAGGTGCACTGTCCCAGCTGAGATGGCTTGGTGCAAAGACCAAACCCTGAAATACGCTTGTCTATAACTATTACTGTGTTCAAACTGGGCAGTTCTGTTATGCAAAAAAACCTTATACACAGACAAATTTGACATGATTTTACAGTGAAGACTGTTTCTCAACAAAACACTTGACAACTTGATTATTTGTTCTTTGAAGTGATAAAATTAATACCAAAAGGGAAGTTGTCACTTTTAATTTAGCTTGGATTTTTGTGCAGTGTCTATGCTGTAAGCAAAAAAAGAACTTGTATTTGAGTGAACAAGTAAATAGCTTCATTGTTTTTATTAAAATTGTGTTAAGCTCATAAAAATAATACTAAATACAACCTCAGAGGCAAAAATAGACAATGAAAATTAATTTGAGCAAAAAGAACACATAAGGAATGAGTTACGAGTTTGAGAGCAGAGGACTTGGGAACGCAGTCTTTTCCATATGCATTGAAGATTCTCTCCCTTTTTGTCACTTCTTCCCAATTTTGAAAGTATCTGCCTCAAAACACTTGCTTGGGAAAGTGGGAGTGTGAAGGTGGGGGGCTGTGTGAATTACAGCTTGCTAAGCATATGGTGACACACATGTCCATAATAGCAAGCGCTTACTTACCCAATATATCAGAAGTCCTCATGGTCTTCTTTAGAAATAAGACAGAAATAAATGCACTACCTAGAACAGAAGTATAAAAATAGGTTTTATATTTGTTAGAATATCAAGTGCTATAGCAAAAAGCTACCCCCTGGCCAAGTTTATATATATCTCATGGCTGTTGTGGTTGCACCATACCAGGATACAGCCAGCCAGGAGTCCATTCTGATAACCAATGAATCCTCAGTTTTTGTAAGATTTTAAACATATCCAGCAGGCTTTTATGTGGTTGAAGAGATGCAATAGCCTTCCCATCTCCCACACAGACACTGCTTAAACTGCTCTGATTCAGTCATATGTGGAAGCATCAAAGAAAGCTGGGCACCAATCAGCCTTACTGTTTCACTCCCCATTTTGCTACCAACTCAGTATATGGGCTTGCTCAAGACAAATTGCCTCATAGAGGTATAGCATTCTGCTTCTTTAGACTTTAATGTATTAAAAGCTTTTAAGTAAAGAAGCAGCAGTACAATCAAGAGGAAGAAAGCCACTGCAAAACCGTACTGAACTATGAACCAAGAGAGTGATCATGATGCCTGCAAACAAGCAGGTGTAAGAACCAACCTATGTACCATACAGGAGCACTGCCCATGGTCTAGAGGAGCTTGTAATAAGGAAGGAGAAAAATGGAACTGAACCCTGAATGTAACCTCCTGTTCCTTGGGCCACTCTTTCTCTTTTTCAGCTCTTCTCTGCCAGCTCCTAGACAGGCCTCTTTGGGATGAGCGGCAAGTGGCAAGGTGAGCAGCAGTAGTGGTCAGGCCAGGATTTCTGGTAAGCAGCTCAGTGTGGACATGTGCTAGAGAGGGAAGAAGGGATTTTGACTTAAGACGGATGAGACTGTTGGCCACCTGGGAGAAACCGCTCTATTCCAGCATACAATATTAGAGCATCTACCTCTAAGGAGAAGCAAAAGAGGCTGAATAGCTCCTGTATAAAAGAGAGATGAAGAAAGGCCTTTGGGAGAGATGCATTGGTAATGTTAGATTCATTTAGAAAACTCAAAGAAAGACTCTGCCCAGGAGGGACAGTGAACCTAAACCCATTGAACCTAAACATATTGAACATATTGAACCTAAACCACTGGATGCTGTTACAAGAGCTCTGTTCCTGTCTACACCATGAAATTCTAGGTTTATTCTTGAAACAACAGATCTTTGCTTCATTAACTCTATTGTTCAGATGGAAAAGTGAATTTGCGGTTAGCTAGTAGATACACTCTAGGTAAATCTAGAGGGGCTAAACCAAGAGGTAAACAGAGAACTAGAATTCAGCATCATGTCTTTGTTACCCAGTCAGTAGAAAATCGGATATAGCAGAAGTCATGAATTTAAACTGCATCAAGAGTGATGGAGATCTATGCAAATGATTAAGTGCAATAAAAGAATTTTCAACTGAAAATGTCTCACTGAAAGTAAGCTGCCTGACACAATTTTTCTTTATTTGATGTTTCAGTGACAGCTTTGCTGCAGAAAAGACACTGGTATCCAGGCAACACTGGTATTAGCAGAGCTACCTAGGTTTACCCACCCATTTTGCAGAATATTTTTGTACTCATTTCACTGGGTGAAATACCAAAGGAGGAGTACTAGCCATGATTCAGACTAATGTTTACACCTCTCTCAGTCTGTGCAACAAGAAAAACATTTTGCTTTGAGACCAAGCATTTACACTGTTTTATGCAACTTAAGGGTCTACCTCCACCTAATGATGCAGTTCAAGTTCCCCCAGTTGATTCTGCACTATCTCTTGAGCCCTGCTGAAGCTGTGGGGATGCAGTTGCTGCCAGTCATATTTTAAGATGTGACCTGAAAGTATGCTTTATATAGACAGACCCTCAGTCTACCTTCCAAGATGAGATTCAGGACCATCCCAGTACAGAAACACTTGGAGATGCTTCAATCCATCACCAGCTCAAGATCTTGTAGTCTGTCACACAAGATCTGGGAAGATGACGAGGCAAGGTAGTACATTTGATCACTGCAGCTCAAATCAGCAGGAGGTTAAGGGGATGGAGAATGGGGAGCAGCCTTATTTCCACAAGGGATCCAGAGGCTGCATAGTAAGAGGGGGACAAGGAAAGAAGTCTGAATGCCAGTCATAAGAGGAAAGTGGTTTAGCTGAAGGATAGTATGAAAAAAATATTAAAAAATGGTACCCAAGTATTTTTATTAAGGACATTCAGAAGGAAATGAGCTGTTTTGGAGAAAGGAGCTTTGTTCACGGCCTTGGGGCAGAATAAAGCATCTCTCTCCCATGCACAGAAGGACAGGAAACACAGATGACTCCTAATGCCCATGCACAAAGCACAAGGACAGGCAAGTCCATGTGCACTCTGCAGGTGTTGGCAGATAAATCACAGCTGGTTTTGAGTGCCTGTATCACCATCTCCATGGTGGAGTCTGCATATAGACAATTCATCTCCGTGTCCTGACACTATCAGCTTACAACCTCCTTCATCTTGTCATGCCTACATCTCAGATATACTCTTGTCCAAGGGGAGGGCAGAAGGAGGTCAAGGAAAACCAGTCTGCTGACCTACTGTGGGTCATTTTAGGGTAGACAAGAGAGAGGATCGGTGTGAGAGGATGGATGCGTTTAGACCTGGTAGGACGTGGGTCTCCTTCAGGGCCAGAGCTCTGTGTAAGGGAGGATTAACAGAAATTTGAAGAAACTTAGAGAATACCTGTATGCATAGCCATACAGATATTCTTTAACAGATAGCTCTGAGAGAGCTAGCTCTGCCCAAGATATCTGGGAACAAATTCATCACAGCTAGTTTATATGATAGATACTACTGGTGCACTGAATACAGAGGAAGATATTACAGAATTCAGTCCGTTGGTCCATAAGCCCTTGACAGCTATCCTGCACTAGCTTTTCTAACATGATTAAATATTAGTACTGCACAAGTGGTGGACAAAACATGAAACATTTTTTTCCTAGCCTTAATGCCAATATTCTTATAAAAAAAAGGCAAGCCAAATATCAGAGGAATTACTCAAAAGAGAAACCATTAAGGTGAGCTTAATTCTGGAAACTGCGTTATAAACACACCACAGAGAGAAGGAAGAACCCTGAAAATCTTTTTGTTGCATCTTCTAGGCAAGTCCAAACAAAGTATTTTAAAGAATAGTCTGGTGAACCCACTTCTCAATAGTAACAGTTCTCAAAATCCCAGATTCTTGGGCCACTAAGATGTTACATTACAGTGAGTGGGAGAAATATTCCCATTTCTGTGAGAATATCTGAGAAACCTTTTCCTAAAGCACCCTCAGGGATATCAGTTTTCAGACCTAAAGCAATTTCTTGCCCTACAGCTATTTAGAAGGAATATATAAAAATGCAAAGGGATCTCAACAATATAGGTCTAAACAAGTTATGTGTAAAATAATGTTCTACAGAATGATGAAAACTGCAGAAGAAATGATCTCTGATACCACTGGCCTCTAACACCTCCCCCGCACTCCCAAGTTATTTCTGCAATCAAAACCAAGACAATGAGCTAAAACCCACAACAGCCTAAAATTACCCGAGCTACATGTAAAATATGAGTTTTAATTTTTAAGTATAAAAAGCTTTTTAATGATCACATCAAACATGTATTAGTCCTCCTCTTTTAAATTAAAAATTTACTAATTTCTCTTCTTGAAGAAAACAACTGCTGTCTTCTCAAACTATTTAAAACCCTGAACAGATGTAGAGCTTGCATCATTGCAACCACACACAGAAATACTTCCACTGTGTAAGAAGAAAAATATAGTCTTTGTAGCTTAATTCTAAAAAAAAACCAAATTAAAATCTACTGGTGTCATGCCAATCCATGGTCTGTGGTGCTGGATTCTCTCCAAAACCAGCCATTAGCGCACCCAGCTCAGTAGAATGAGGCACAAACTTTTCACTATTTAATTGATACCGGCTTAAATGCAAAATCCAATTGGATGCAGTCAAATGTGGTAGCAGAACATAATTGATGGTGGCTCCATCTATTTTAAGCCCCAGGATGCTTCCCGTCTCAGAGGGTTGAAGATATATGATGGGTATAGCCCAAATCCATTCTGGACAGACTCCTGTCTGCCTTATCCTCTACCAAAACCTTAGTTTCCAAGCAAAGGAAAATTGTCACACAGACCAAGAGTGACAGAGATCTGCAAAGAATCCCCTAGATGATCAGGCATACTGCAAAACACATGTCCCTCAGTACAAAGTAGGTTCTGAGTACCCAGTGTCAGTGAGAGTCAGCTGTTACCATCTGGGATGCGTTGACACCAAATCTGGAAAAAAAGCTTATCAGAAGGGTGGACTCAGGGTTCAGATACACACTTGGAGTTTGTTATCAGCTGCTTAATTTCTTCATTTAAAAAATTAACTTATGAAAGGCACACATTTAACAGTACCACAGAACAACTGTCAACTAGTCTGTGCCAAGTCCACCCTCCACCACCTAAAAGAAGTCACAGCTTAAGGAGAAAACTATTGCTTGATCTTTTAAATTGGAAGACCTGATGACTGAATTATCCTCTGCCCACTTTTAGTAGATGATGCACATGTGTCTTGGTCAATTTGTCATTACCCTAAATGATGAACTCTTCTAAAATTAAAAGGATGCTCTGTTTCTCTTTGGCTTTAATTTCAGAAGACAAGGAAGTATCTAGCGGTAGGAAGTGTTACTGGGAAGTTATTGCTGTAGTTGGCTGTCTACATCATTTTTACTTTCTTTTCCTTCAGGGAATGTTTGCTAGACTAAATAAAATTTCAGATAGCTCTATTGTTTGGGCAATGAAATGGATACTGTCAGCTGATATACGGGAATGGAATATAAGATATTAAAGTGCTTTCTGGGGTCTTCCAGGATAAGCATTGTGGGTCAGTTAAAAAAAAAGAAAAAGTTATAACAAGCTATAACAGTTCAGAAAATGGTTTCTTGGTGTTTGTTATAAGTAAGAGGAAATGGAGAATGGAGGAAACGGATGCAACTTTTTAACACATTGCAAAGGTAAAGAAGAAGGAATCTGCACAGATAAAAACCAACTCTAAATATGACATCTACTTTGTAGCAGTTTAATAACCAATGGCATTTTTTCCCTTCCTAGAATCATAGAATCATAGAATAATTAGGGTTGGAAAGGACCTTAAGATCATCTAGTTCCAACCCCCCTGCCATGGGCAGGGACACCTTATGCTAAATCATATCACCCAAGGCCTTGTCCAACCTGGTCTTGAACACTGCTTTTCACTTCTTTCTAGTTTTATATATTTGCATTTTATTTAGTTTGGGCAACACATTAAATTGGTTAATGTTTGTTTATGTTCAGATACACCTGGAAAAGTCTGCAGGTGTTAAAAATACAACTACTGCCACCAAAATCTCTGGGATATGTCATATTAATTTACATTTTCATCTCAGATAATATCTCATTCCTTTCTTTGAGAAATCTTTCCTACAATGGTGAGCTACCATGGCTTTGTATCTCATTCTCCTAAATTCTGCAATGGTTTAACATGAAATGTAAAAGTAAATTGCCTGCAGTTTCCTTCCCCCACTATCTCTGCTAAATTGTACCCACATATGGTTGGCTGCCTTCTTCCACTACAGCTGGGCAGTCCACCAGGAAGGTAATTCATCTTTTCTACATTCTTATGCAGAATCACTCACTCACTGCAATGTCACTTCCAAGCGTGAAACTGGTAGCTAGAGACAGACCATGAGATGTTATCATTTATGAACAGCAAGGAAATGAGCTCCAGTGTATGCAGAGCTGTTGTGCTATCTCAGTTCTGAGTGTTTCAGCTGTGGATATGAAATAACTTGATTAAGGGATATAGCTGCATCCTGTATTCCTTTTTTTCACAGCCTTTGTACAATATTGCCCTGTCCACTCTGCATTAGCATAACATGACAACATACTTTAAAATGTATGTTTCTTTATCAAACATCTTTACCTCATACCTGTCAATATGTTAATTACAAAAAATGCATAAAGAGTAAGATCATAAGAAACGAGACCTAAGGACAGGACTTCTGCTAACATCCAACTAATTTACACATGAAAGAACAAATTAATTTTGATAATGTCCATAAATAAACTAAGCATTTCAGGGAGTTTCTAGGCCCTTTTTCTCACATGCTGCAGAGAGTCAAGAAAGCTTGCTCATGTCAACATGAATTATGGTGATGGGCAGCAGAAACCACTTGGTGTGATCGTAACATGGAAAATACACTGCAAGTACTCGGGATCAGACCACAGCTCTATGCAGTCAGCAGGATGCCAGCCCCAAACTTCAGGGGCTTGCAGAGCCAGCAAGGCTGGTACGCTAATGGATGACCAACTGCTAAGAGCTAGAGGGCACAGAGTGACACAAAAGGCACAACTACAGAAAAAGAAAGATATTAAAAGAATCTCTAAGTAGAGGGTTTGTGTTAAGCTGTCAGCTCATGTAATTATATGAATAATTCCTTTTCAAACCACAACATTAACATTTCCCCCCTCTGTTTCTGCTGCAGTTCCTGAAGTATTATTCCTCTAGTTACACACAAGCATCCAATTAATGTACCCAAGGAAGAAATGGCAAACCGTCTCACCTATGACAGATACACATCCCAGTGGTGCGATAAGGGCAATGGGGGCAAACCCATAGGCTGTGAAATTGCCCACCTCTCCAAGCCCCAGGAGGGTGGTCGCACACCACCATCGCTTGCTCACGTAGTAGGGCTTCGGCTCTGTTTGGTAAGCCAGTCGGAGACGAGTGCATTTCTAGAAAATTAATTATTAGGAACAGATATGAAAAGAAAGACTTCCATTGTGCTCTTATGTCTGACAAAAGCGGAATAATTAAGGGGGCTGTCAAATTCAAATTCCAGGTGTGTCAAGGTTTCCTTTTTAAACATGACTTTCAGCTTGTTGTTGCAGAGCTTTTTGTTAACTCAGAGCTGCTTCAGATGTGTGCTTTCTTAGCTGTGGTGGAAACAGCTGAAAAATGAGACTTCTGAATAAATCTGAAAATTATTAAGTGAATACTAACTAGGTAGTGCTTCCAAGCTGTCACTGCGCACCTCTGTTCTTCTCCCAAAGCAAAGCTTAGTAGTTGTGCTGGGAATCTAGTAACAATTAAAGGCAGGAGGAGATGGGGCAGAATTAGAAATGTGGCAACAAACTTGGAAAAGGGAACTGGGTAACATGGTGTTCCTGCTCCATGTTACACAGGCTCACCAGAAATACGATTTCAAAATAAAAAAGGCAGCACTTAGTCACATCTGCTGTAGGGAGAACTCTAAATTAATTAGATAGATTTTAGGATTTGGCTACGGTCTCCTGTTTGACCTTACAACGAGGTCTTGGGTGAAGCATCATTTTCAGAAGGAAAACCAATTATAGCTGTATCAACAGGTATTATATATACTCAGGCAATACTTTGGCAGTGTTTCTTGTTACACAGAGAAGGCATCATTGACACATGTTGTAATTGTTTTCTCTCTGGCTGTACAACAAGAACCTGTATATAACAAAATGATTTGACTATGATCACACTGGTCTCCTTCAGGAAGGCATCATGATTGGGAAGGATGCAATGTTTACCACATTATTTCTGCAGAACAGTGTTTCCTTCCTCAGATTTCTCACAAGCTTCTCTGCACATGGGTCGAAAAAATTGTAAACCAAATGATAGTTATTACAGTATAAATGGTGGTAAAATAATTTTTGTTCTCCAACACTTGGTATTTGACTTCTGAAGTGTCCTTGCAGAGTCCCTGGGAAGTTACAAGCAATTTTCTTCATAATCCAATTCTACTCTGCTTTACAGAGCATGGGCCAAACAGTAACATATGTGGTACACCACAGTCTCAGTCGTTCCTGTTGTTGAGAGGACACTGCACGTTACTGCAGCTTCAATGCTGTGGAACATGTTCAGGAGACGAAATCCTAAGAAGTTTAGCCCTCCAAGAAGAAAAGAAGCACAAGGAAATCAAACTTCCTTGAGGCGCAGGCTAGCAATTCACAGTAACATCCAGGATTTTGCATGTTCCATTTTTAAAAACAAAAAAATGGATCAAAAAAAGCCCAACAAAGATCTTATTGAAACAAATATTAAATAATATTCAAATCAAGAATCTAAGTTTTTGCTGAAAATCAATAGGACAAGTTCTTAACTGTATCTTGGGCTCTGGTTTCTCCCCAGGATTCTTGCAGAAATAACTCTTGAGGGCACAGTGTGATTGAAAAGATGTGCAGGGAACACGGGAGAGTGAGCCCAGTGCTCTCCTACAGCCTGCTTTCTCTAGATGCCTGCTTGCTTTCCATAGTGATGTGTGTGGATGGTATTTAGGTGGAGGCTGTATATAATCCAGCTGAAAAACATTGCAAATGGTGGGCTGTTCCTTAGCTGATAACTAGCTAGAGGGAAGATAGGGAGGATAACTGACTACATGGTGGGAAAGGAAAGAGGGAACAATAAAATTTGGTTTGTCCATTTAATGAGTGTGAAAATAAATGTTGAGATCAAAGGAAAATCATTGCTCATATTTATAAGATATTGTTACTAAATGGAGAAAAATCTCTTTAAAAGGATAAAAAACCCCAACAGTTTAAACTGCCAAATAGCAATGCAGAGCTATTGGGTTTTCTTAAACAGCATTTAAAAAAAGCTAGAAGATAATGCAAATCCAGTAAATGCTTTCAAGATTACAAGTCAATAAAAGTCTGTCTGCACGCCTCGGTACCTCCCCTGGCAAATCATCACTTTAGCACTCAGTGCCTGCAACAGACAAAATATATGAAGTCTCAACAACCTTGTTTTTATGGGCGACACTGAATTTTCACTTCACCAAAAAGAGTTTTGCCATTGAAACAGATCCTGTCCTAGTAGTGTCACTGTCAGCAGATTGGAACTCATATTGAAGAAGCAGCAGTCACCTCAACCTGCCTGCTTTCTCTGGCAGATTTCTTTCAATGGGATTCTCCAACTAAAGATATTTAAAATAGAAAGGAATCGTTGAAGAATCCTCCAGCATTAATAAAAAGGGTTATTATTAATAAAAGATTTCATATTCTTCAGCTTTCTGCTTCATCCTTTACAGAAAAAGCAAGAAGTAGCTTTATATGGGACGTATACAACTCAAAATACAAGCTAGCAAAATTACTTTTCCTGGACAACTTACATAACAACGTCTTCTGTGCTTAAAAGTTAGAAGACCTAAAAATACCATGAAGTCTAAAAGAAAAAGATTATAATGTATTACTTAACTTTCTACTGAGTATGTATTCTAATTATTAATACAGAAAGGATTTTAGAAGTCTTACCCTACAGCCTTCTGCCATGGTTGTAAATTGAGTACCTCCATTGATTTTATAATTTAAAATTATGTTTACTCAGATAATTTCATCTTAATTGCAGAAAGAAAAGTAAAATTGTCTAAGTTGTTTTGGGGCCCAATATTGCAAAAAAGCTTTATGTCATTATGCATTTAATTACATTAATTGCTTCATTAAGTGGTGCCTAAGACTTTGCAGTCATTTTCATTTTAGATTTGGAAACTCAGCCAGGTTCATGTGATGATCAGTGAGACCACAACTGGGTCAAAGCTGGTATTTCTTTATGACACATTACAAGGAGGAGGATTTGTAATTTGTTATCCTGTTCCAACACAGGAATCACAGCACAGAACGGGTTGAGAGCTATCACACTGCCAACTACTGCAGCAAGGCACTTTTAAACTAGCATTAAAGAGAGGGAATATTTCAAAAATGCAACGGAATTTGTATTTTGAACTTCACCATAAAAACAAATTGTAACATAAGTTACTCGCTACATGCAAACAACTGAATAAAGAGAAACAATTTCATACCTGTATATTCAAAGAGACACTAATCAGAAAATTGGAAGCAGCAGCAAGTAAAACTCCAAGGAGCTGAGTCTGCAAGATCACAAAACAAAGAAACACAAAAATGCTTATCATTATTTTAAGAAGAACAATACAATTGTGGTTTTCTGGTATCACATTGTAACCCAATCAAAACTTAATTGTTGTACTTTTCAGTCACTGAGTTCATGCTGCACTGAGTAAACTCCTAAAATAATACCTCTACAAGGTTGGCTAAGGCTTAAGTAGTAAATAACTGGGAATGGAAAGGACATCCTGGTGCAGGAGGTGGCTTTGCTCTCTTTCAGTAGAACATCTTCTTAAATCCCATGAAAAAAAGAAACCACAAACAAACAAACAAGCTAGACAGGTCGCAGTTGAACATTACATTTAACTGGTTTTTTTTTTCAGAAAAGAAAACCAAAAAAAACCCCACAAATAAACAAATGAAAGAATACACACTAAGCAAAACACAAAACCAAACCAAAACAAAAAACAAACCAAACAAAAACACACACACACACACACACAGAAACAAACAAAAGACCTGTTGTGTTACATAACCCAGAAGGAAAATCGACAGCAATCACATTGGAACACACTTATGTTACGTGTTAACATACCCACCATTTGACAGGGCAGCCAGGAACACAGGTCTCCTGACAGTTTCTTTAATGCATTGCGCTATCTCATCAAATTCTTTTCTAATCAGACCGCCTTAATTTTACAAACTTCCTGTGAAGCTGAGAAATTGAAAACATTCAAGCAGGATTCATTATTCTGGAAAGCAGCCATTTAAAGAAATCTTTTCAGCAAGCTCAAATAACAGGTACATGGTAGAACTCCCCGTCTACTTTCAAATACTGTGACATTTTGTACATTGTCATAAGTGTAATCAAGGCCCATTCAAGGTCACTGGTATAGTTCTGTGAGGAGCCCCATTAGCTTTTACAGAAGACAGACATACTATCAGTACGTTTGCATAAATAAGGTCATGGGAACATAACCCAGCTACTACAAAGCAGCATCCAACCCAGTGCTCACTCCCTCAGCTTTTATGACTCTTCTCCAAGGACACCTGTGAACAGTCAGTGCCAACCAACCACAGAGACTTATTTATAAAGAGTAATATGGGGTCCAGTAAGCTCCTGGTGGGGATACGGGCTCCATCTCCGGCAGCGTTCAAGGCCAGGTTGGACAGAGCCTTGGGTGACATGGTTTAGTGCGAGGTGTCAAGGTGTCCATGCCCATAGCAGAGGGCTGGAACTTGATGATCTTAAGGTCCTTTCCAACCTTATAGAATTCTATAATTCTATAATCCTAAAAGGGATGATTATTGCTGTAGCTAGGTAATTCTCAGATCAGGAAAGCACATCCCCAAAAGCATGAAGAAACAACAGCCTTGTTACAAATGGATAACAAAAATGCTTTTTTAAAAGACAGAACTGAATCCAACTGTCTGTTGGAAATGCTCATGCATTTCTACAGTGGCTTACATTCAGAAGGAGAAGCAGACATCAAATTGCTCTGGTTGAAATGCTTGGCTGACTGCCACATGTCAACAAGACATGACTGACTTGTACAAGGAGATGCAGAGAGCAGAATGCAGGAGGTCAGAGGGCTCCTTTTGCTCACACACCCTCTTTGCCAAGTATCACAGCACCAATGCCACAGCCTGTGTACAGAAAGAATTCAATAAGAAGCATTACTCAAGAGTTTTGCGCACACCTTGTGGTACCTGGCCACTGGAGGTCCTTCTCATCTTGCAGTCCCTCCCCACAAGCTGGTATCCAGCGCTCTCACACACTGTGCATTTTCCAGGCTGAGGGAACAACCTTCACTTGGAGCAGTGGGGAGTATGTGACAAGATGTCTTAGCATACCTCAGCACAAACCTCTGCTGAGATCAAGCACTAACAGTTACAAGGACACTAGCAGCCCTGAAGCCTCCTTCTAGACCAGAGAAATGCTGTGAAATGGTCCCCACCTAAAGCTCCAGAGGAGCAGAGGGGATGGGTTTTCCTTCCTGAGGCTTTGATGACTTTACTCAAAGCTTGGTCACTTCACAGATGGATTATTGCACTCCCCTCATCATCCTGCACAGACAGCAGCTTCACTACAACTGCAGTTAAATCAAAATTATTTTCTTGCTCCCAAAGACTTGTTCTTTTTAAATGACAACATGCTCCCTTGTGAGGGGGTGGACAAGTGACCTTGTCAGCCCCATCATGAAGAGTTGAAGAATGAGGAGACAGTAGGGAATAGAAAACAGAAACTGCCACCTCATTTACCCCATCATTTTGTTGCTTTCACATCAGTAACTGTAATATATCCACACTACTCCCAAGAAGAGAAACCAGTATCTCTGCAGATCTTTTCATTTCAGCAGCCAATTCTACCCTTACAGATGCGTCTTTGGGTTACCCCTTATAGCTCCTTTTTCCCAGCTTTCAGCCAGGGTCATAGTCACTGTGCAGGACTTGGGAAGCAACCAGCACACTAGGGAGGAATCAGCCCAAAAGATGATGTCCATACAGCTCTGGAAGTAGAATTTGCATGCAGTTGGTGGGCAGAGGATGAGGCTGTGTTCATCTGTCATCTAAAAAAATGTGCAAAATCGTATGGGTACTGGTGATAACCCGAGTACCTGCCTCCAGAGACTGTGAATCAAATGCCACTTTGATGGATTTAAACACTGCATGGGCAGGGACTCCAGCAGGAAGTTTTCCAATGTCCTGCAGCACTGTTGTCCTCTCCATTAGAGCAACAACTTTTGTGTCATGGTGGTTGCTTTGTCAGGTACCTCTCTGAGGCTGGCACAGATATCCTTTTTGGACCATGCTGTGTCTGAACAGGAACCATCATCCCAAAAGTCAGTTCTCTTCTTAAGGTTCCAGAAATTGCCAGGAATAGAAAACAGGACAAAAACCTGGATCTTCTTAATTTCTGTGAAATACAGAGACATGCATGACTGCTGTCTCAGTACTGCTCAGTGAAATACCGAGATCAGCATTTCCTCCAGCTGAGGTTGTGCTGGAACTTGGGCTAAGTGATGGGCCCAGCTCAGCAGGACTCAGTGCTGGGCAGAGCTGTGGGCAGAAGACCAGACCTGCTGTGGCATCACTGGAGTACAAGTTGGTGGCCTACATGGCTGAAAATGGGTCCTGGTCTATGGGCAGGGCAGGGCTGTGGGCACTTTTAGGGCCCCAACAACCACATGCAAAGCTGCTGAGGTGACACTCCCTTGTGCCTAACATAACCAACCTTCTGTGTTCAAGGCAAATTCATAGCAGTGGCCTAGGCTCAAAACCTACCCTCATTGCTTAAGTCATTTTATTGTAATGACCCCGTGTTTCACCTGAGCACTGCTCTTGGCATGTATACTGCACTGCCTGCTCCAGATTGACATGTGTTAATGAGCTCTGATTAATAATATGATATCACCATACTCCCAAACTCAGGGCTGGGTAGACCTCTAAGGATTAAAACCAGGGTACAATGCCCTAAGGAGATCAAATATCACAGGGATCTGCTCAGGGACATGAGATGAAAGTATAGTAACTCCATGCAGCTATAGCATGGCTAAACTGTCATATACACGTTCATACTCAGACCTGCCAATATTAAAGAAAACCACAGGGAACAAAAATGCAATAAAGAGGAAAATAAAATTGCAAACTTCTCAAATCAGAGCACATCTTAAACTGGCAGGCAATTTCTAACACACAAGAGTTATCACACACAGCAATGCTCAAAGTAGGAAAGAGAAAAACAGGATACCATATCCCAGGCTAGTAAAGCCATGCATGAATGAAAGATGACCTGTGACAGAAGATGGATCACTGTATCAAACCAAAATGGTTGCCGTTTTTTCCTGAAGGCCACAGCAACCTTTCTGTTGTCATGTCACATAAAAGGCTTCATTATTTGTACTGTGTCTGCCATTCAACACCCTTTAGAGGCTAGAAGGCTGGTGGAACAGCCAGTTTGATAAGTAATAAACGTTATATTCTCTGAAGACAGAGATATCATCCAGTTGTGATATTATCCACAGCACTGTGGGTCTTCCCACACAGAAGTCTTGAGACAAAACTTTATTAGGGAATTCAGTTACAAACACCACAGAAATTTGATTTCCTTTACCTTAATACATTTTGGAACCAGCCATGAAAGTCACTTGCTGGCTTTGCAGTCCTTTATGGATAATCCCCAAGCACACAAACCATGGACTGAGGCTGTGGATCTGCTGTTTTCCTTGGTGGCAAAGCCAGCTTGAGGAATGCCTTCCTCTGGTCCCCTGTTCCTTCACTGCCTCCTTTGCATTTGTGGGGCTGGAAAGGAGCTGCTCCAGGTTTGAAATAATCCTCTCAGACCATACCCTTTTAACATTATGTGCCTTATAAGCCACCTGCCAATGTTTAACACTAAAGGCAGATCAAAATTGGCAGGGTTGGATGGGTTAGTGGGCATCCATTTGCCAAGTGGCAGCATATTGCTATTCAAAATAGATGAGCAGCAGTATAGATGTGCAGCAGTATAGCATAGTTCCACACAGTCCCACTTCAAGCCCTCATACGGGATCTAATACTTGTTTACCCTAGCACCTTTTCATAGCATTCTGGCACTATTTTAAAAAGGCATTTTATGCACAAGGTCTTTTTATTGTCAAAGTAAAATAGGAAGGTTACGGCACATGAAAGCCAGGCTGAAATCTAAACCTTTGGCACTAATTCTAATAAATTTATCCCTTGCAGACTAAGATCTGCATTAAAGACTTTATTACACAGTGAAATGCAATTTATCCATATTACATGTGTGTTTTCCTAATGGACATTAAACTGCAGTTGCCAGGACTGTTAAATGAAAACTTAGAAAAGTTAACTTGATTTGCATTGATCAAAAGGTACATGGCCATTATTTATGGAAACTTGCTATGCTATAAACCGATGAGCAGAAAAAAAAAAACCACTTCAAATGTGTATTGTCAGCTCACTCATCAAGTCTAGTTAAAACCATTCCTCCTATTTGTCTTTATTTCTGCATTTATTTGTGCTC